TTTTGGCTTCTACATTACATATTGGGTAGCCTCTATCTGTGAACTCTGGTGCTAATTCCTTAGTTCCAAGGTTTTTCTACTTGAAATTTTGAACTATTATAAACACATGTAAGCAACTGGTGTGTAGTATATTCCAGGATGTGCCTTGTTTAACTTTCCCCCTAAAAATGTGATAAGATCAATGCAGCATTTTATGTGTTCTTAAAGTAGATGGGTCATCTCGGTTGAGCTAGACAGATTGTTTCTGAAGTATTCAATATCTTTATTTATGTTTCCAAGATGGAGGATAAAACAAAGAAATAGGAAAGAAAAAACAGCAGATTCAGCAGATCTTATCTTGCTATTTTCCCCTTTCTGTTTTCATTTGCACTTCTATTTCTATGCAATATTTCATTTTTTTTATCCATCTATCACAGTTTGCTTCTGTCAGAACTTCAAAGGCAGCTTGCTTTCATAAAGGAGGGACAGTATTGACTGAGCTGTATTATTGTTTCTACCTTTTTTTTGACCAATCCTCAATGCATATTTCTAGTTTTGGAAAGCATTTCATGAATCACTGGGCGGTTTGAAAAATCTATACTGTAAGCTCATTACTTTGCTGGCTGCTGAATATTTTCCATTGGTTGTGTTTGCGATGCAAAAATGCAGCCCTTCCTCTCAGGAAAAAGAAGTTAAAATTTCATATATACATAAATAATAAAACAACATCTGGAGGTGATATCCATGTGATTTATTTCATTTCCTATGTACTTTTGACTGCCCCTTTGTCCATTAATCCACACAAACTTTCAGCATCTTGCAACCTCCTTAGCACCTTCAGGCTCATTTTTCTAGCTAGTCAGTCAAACAGGGCTCACTTCTCCCCCCTTGAAATGTGGCACTCAAAGCCATTTTCCCAAATGTCACTGGCTTGAGGCCCAGGAGAAGCAATATTCTGTTCTACACTAGTGATCAGGGTTTAAGCTCATATCTCATGAGCCTGCAGAGCTGGAAGTGGGAGCTTTGTACTTGCTAGTGAGCTCCTTGCCCCAGCAAGCAGAGGGATAAAAGATGTATAGGAGTTAATTTCAGTGGGGCCAGGATTTTCCTCTCGAAGAGGCAGATCCAAGGCTTCACAGACAACAGAATACAGTGGAAATGACAAAGTGGTACAACGTTTAATAGAGTCGCTTTTAGATTAATTTTATATTTTTAACAAATATTTTCTCATGCTTAGCCATGTATAGAATCTTAGTAACTCAGATTCTTAATTTCAGAGGCACAAAGTGGTTCTGATCCAATCAACCTCCCCCCTCCAATCTATTTTAAGCACTTCCAGCACCAATATCTTTCTGAAAAACATCTTCATACACGTTGCATGATGGGAACGTATTAAAGTGCTTTCAGCACTCCTGCCAAGTAATATGCTGAACTCACCTAGAGTTTAACTACTTATATCACACCAGATCCCTCTTTTTCTCAGTCTTTTCTGAAGGATAGGAGATAAACAGAAACACCATTTTCTTTCTCCCTTTAAAGCTGGGCATAGAGCCAAATTATTTTGTCATTTTTTTCTTTGCAGGAAAGCAGACACTGCCATTAACGAGTCACAAAACAATCAAACATTAAGACTGTCTGGGCTTTCATTCCAAGAAGGGCTGAAAAGTAGCTGCAGTTTGGAGGCATGCTGTATACCCACCTACAACCTTCAAGTGGGTGGAAAGGAGAGAGGGACAGCAGAGTCCAGAGCTGGAGAATGCTGGAGTCACATAGATGGAAGCCAGGGCGCTCAGGAGAAACATCCTGGCACACAACATCAGGGTCATCAGCAGAAATTCCAGTCTTTGCTCTTGTCCTGACTTGTACATATTTTGGCAGCCAGTTGATGAGAAGCTATGGAAGGCATGGATGATGAGTTTCAAGTATTCATTCCAGGCCACCCATAATGTGGAAAACATGCTTAGAATTCTGCATGATATTAAGGTGAAGTTTATGCTTTGTTGTATTTTTAATGAGAAATCAGTCATTGTTTCTTTAAAAGGATGTTTTATGTCTCTACGAGGAAATCTACACAGGGAAATACATACACTCTATCTATACAGATGTTGTCCAATATCTAGATATATACTATATCTGCACAGGGAAATCTCAGGAGTACAAGCTAAATAACATGTGATACAGGGATAGATATTTCATTCATCCCAGTAGCTCAGGGAAAGTTACTATTTGAGCAGTATTATTGAGCAATTGGTGAAAGAGCTCTCTTGCTCCAAGTAAGCTGTCAATTTTGAGAAGTTTGTCTCTATCTGCATCACTACTTCTTACATGGATTTCTCACGCTGCATGGATTTTTATTTGTCATTAGTATCTTAGTTTCTCCCGAAGCTGCCACAAGCAGATTTTCATTTCATGTGACTCTTCTGTCAGCATGCAGCTACCAGAAAGGTGGCAATGACCAGGGTCAATTGGGGAGGGGACAGCCCAGTCCCTTCCATGCAGATGGGAAGTTCTCTTCAGTCAGGCTTTGTTGAAAAATCTACAAAGTGACCTTGCCACTTCTTTTTCCTCCTGGGTTAGGAAAAGCAGCTGTTGTTTTATTCTGTCCTTACCCCTAGCTCTTAGGTAGGAAGAGAATTACACGGATGGTGACATAACCAGCGCTGTGAAGAGTGGTATCTTTGTGTAAAGAACACAGTCTTTGCCTGTGCTTTGTATCCTACTGAGTGTCAAACCATGGAGAAACATGACAGCCAAAAGTGACAAACAAAACTGTTGATGGATGAGAAAAAGCACCTGCAGTGCCTTGGGTATACAGGACTACAGCAAAGTGTTGACCAGCCAGAAATCCAGCTCAGTATTGGCTGCACATTGAAAATAAATTGCTTTAAGTGGGAAGTCAGATGCACTTTAACATACCTTTTTCATTGACTTGTTTCCAAGTTGATTAAATGCTTGTGCGTTCAGCCTGTGCTCTTCTACTCCTCTGAAGTCTAACTGTTGGCTGTTCAGATGCTCACCTACACATGTATGTGCATTCAAATACTACTAAAATGCAAGCCTCCCAATAGCTAAAACTATTAATTCATAGGAATTTAAAATTAAATGGCTGGGCTGTTTTCCAGATGATTTCTAAAGTTCCCATACTTACACATAAATGCCTCCGTAGGATTTACATTACGCTACTGTATTTGTTTCAGTGTGCATTTGACTGCCAAGAACGCTGCCTGTGACCATCACAGCAATCTAATTAAATATCTGAGCAGCAGAAAGCTGGACATTATTCAAGTCCAGCTCAGCATTACATCAGAAAACTTAGTTTGTCTCCTTTATCAAAAGCTTTTTGAATCAGTATCTTCTACCCAAACCCTCAAGTGTAATGACTTTGGTTGGACATACACTGGGTAACAGATGTCTAACATGACATGTTAGCCATCGGAGCCATGAACCGAAATCATAAAAATGACGCTTCAGTTTGGCACGGCAAAATATATTAGAAGGGTCAGTCACTACCAACCTGCTTGCTGATAGTTGAGAAACAGCACTGCAAAATGCATGAGCTGCCTCTTGCAGTCTATAGCAGGAAGCCTTGGAGAGCCACAGATAATTTGCTTTCAATGATTCATCAGCTTGGCCCTTTGTTTCACTAATTTGAGTGTCAAGTACAACCACATAATAACGAATTACCAAGACCTGATAAGATTCTTCTTATATTGCTTCGTTTGTCTTAACAACTGGTGCATTGAAACCAAACCCACCAACTGAATAAATAGCAAGGGTGCGTGCGATGAGGACATTCTTCCTTGAAATGATAAAGCATGTTTACCACCTTATCCACTGATGTACCCATACGTTCTTCTTCCTTTTCATTTTCTTAAAGGGCGGTAAATGCTGCGCTCTGTGCCAGTGCTCGAGATGGCATTTGTTTCACTGTTAGTCCCCCAATGAATTAGTGAAGATAAAAAATGGATTTCAATGACAATTTCAGCCTTGAGAAAGCTGCTATTGTGCCCATGGTTGAGTTAGCCTGCTGATCGTTTTCTCCTTAATGTAATCTTTAATCTTTAATGTTATATAGCTATAGGTTAGATGTGAAGGCATATATTAGAACTATTATTTCCATGAGTAATTTCAAGAGAAATATCGTCGTGATTAGGGGATAGATTATTTTTTTAAATGCTACGCTGTCATTTTAATAACTTCATAAGAAATCAACCTTAAAACGGCTTGTTTTGAAGAAGCACGTCCAAATACACAGAACTGTCAGAGTAAGAGATCTGTGTAATTTGAGGTCCCTTCATAAAGTTTTTATGTCTGAACCATCAGCACGGAGAAGGAAACATTAAAAGAAAAACAAAAAAAAACCCAAAAAACAAACAAAAACAAAAAAACAAAACAAAAAAAAAACTTTGGAAGGTCGCTTGTAAAAGAAGGGGGAGAAATGCCCACCTTCGGCCACTGCAAAGATGGCACGGGGAGCAAAACAAAAAAATAGAGTGGAGCTTCTATCAAAAGCCTTCGATATCGCTTTGGAGAAGGGTTGCACGAAGGAGGGCGGCGTTAGCGCCGCACAAGGAGTTGAGGGCGTCGATTTTTTTTACGAACGCGAATTTCAAGCGCTGCCTGAACGCCGCCGGCTTCAGCCAGCACAGCCAGCGGGGAAGAGCCACGGATTCTCCGCCGGGGAAAACCCGGAGCGGCTCCACGTGAGGGTCGCGCCGCGGGGCTCCCCGCTGGCCGGCAGCCGGGGCCGCGTGCCCGCCGTGTGCCCTCCGCGTGCCCGCCGGCGGCGGAGCAGCGCGCCCGAGGGGCGGCAGAAGTTAACTTCCACCTGCCCTAAAGCCGCCGCCGCGCCGCCGGGAGGAGGCGGAGGAGGAGGCGGAGGCAGGCGGGGCGGCCGAGGACCCGGCTCTGGCAGAGCTCTGAGGGTCCGGCCGGCTGTAATTCCCCCCTAATCCCCTGCACGGCGGCGCTTCCCCGGCCGAGCCATGGCCGCGGCTCCCCCGCCATGCCGAGCCTAGCGGGGAGCGGGCGGAGCGGCGCCCGGGAGGCGCACAAAATGAAGACCCTGATGGTGAGTGCGGCGCTGGCACGGCACGGCTCGGCCCGGCGGCGGGAGAAGAGCGGCGCGGGGCTGCCCCGGGTTGGGCGCACGCGCTCCCGCCTGCCCCGGCCGCGTCCTCGCGGCTCTCCGGGGTGCGGGAAGGCGAGCGCGAGCCGGGCGGTGGCAGCGAACTTTCCGCATGCTTTCTTTTATTCGTGTTGCTCGGGGTTTGGGGATTTTGTGCGCGCGTCGTGAGAAACGGATGGGAAACCGAGCTGCGTAAAGGACGAGGCTGGAGATGGGGGGGAACAGGGAGGAGGGAGGAGAGCGTGACCGTGCCCGGCACTCGTTGAAATGCATGGGTGAGGTGTCCGGAGGGAGACGGGGCAGGAAGGAGAGGTGTGGGGGAGCCGGAGGAGCTGGGCTGGGGGTGGGCGGGGGATGGCAGTGCGTGGGCGAGGGGGGTCCCGAACCTCCGGCGCACTTTTGCCGGGGCTCCTGCGGCGTAAAACTTGGGGAGCGGTGCCGGCCGCTGTCCCCGGGGCTCTCAGCCGCCTCTCTCTGCCCCCCACAGCGCCACGGGCTGGCCGTCTGCTTGGCGCTCACCACCATGTGCACCAGCTTGTTGCTCATGTACGGCGGCATCGGAGGCGGCGGCGGGGGCCACCCGGAGCCTCGGCGGCGGCAGCAGCAGCAGCAGCAGGTGGCGGCGGTGCCCAGCCGCCCGCCAGCACGCGGCCAGCACCGGCCGGCGCTCCCCGTCGGGGCCGGACTCCTGGAGGGTTACATCAGCGTCCTGGAGCACAAGGTGAGCCGCCGTCGCGGGGCCCGTGCTTTCCTTGTGGGGTCTGGCGCTGCCTCGACCTCCCACGGGGAACCCCGACCCCGTACCGCGGAGCTCACCTTCGTCCCGGCTGTGCTGTGCTCGGGGTGCTCTGCAGCCTGGCTGCTGGGCTGCCTTCTGCAGTCTTCTGTTGCCGACCCCTGGCCCTGTGTCTGGCCCAATGGTTGGGCATCTGTGGGGTGTTGGTTTTCTCCTCTCTTGCCCAGCAGGAGATACCGTTTTGCTTCTTGTGCTGAACGCTGGGGTTCTGCTTCCTCTAGCATCAAGGAAGGGTTAAAGTAAGTTTAGCTACTCAAAGGAAAGTCGATGGGTAGGTGTTTATTCTTAGCTCATTCAGTCTTGGGAAACCGAAGAGAACTGTATTTCCTGTACAAATGACCTTTTCATCCTTCTGAGAAGCAGAAGTTGTCAGCCATGGTTTCTGTTCCAGAAATTGGGGCACCTCTAATGGTGAACAAAATGATGTCCCTCCCCTTGATGCAGAAATCACAAGGCTGGGTTGTCAGACTGTGATATCCATTCACTGAAGGTAGGCATAAGGAGCTTTGATATCTCGGAGGACAGACCTAGTGACAGTGAGGAGGGTGGCACATCCAGTGAAGAGGTACTTGATATTCAATAATTTTCTCAGAAGGCGGATTTCTCTTCCACTTACTCAGTGTTCAGTTTCTTGCTTTTCGAGCTCCGAGGATCCTTCCCTATTGAACTCCCAGGTAACGTTTAGTATGCAAGGTTTCAAGTAGTAAGGATGAGAAAAACGAGCAAAGATTCCCAACTTTCTCATGTTGTGACATCGAGACTGATATCTTTCTTAAGGATGTGTTGTCAAACAGGTTACTGGCCTCAGTTTAGAGGTACTGTGTGAGGATTAGTGACCTTGATATACATGGATTTTTATTGTTCCTTCTGGCTTCACTTTCTATGCAGGAGTTACCTGTAGTGCACTTAACACAGGAAAAATAGCTCCTGATGGTCCCTTCAAGGTGTTTTTTGCTTTCTTACATGGTTCTTTGAAAGTTCTCAGAGGTGATGTCTGCTGGCTGTAGAAAAAGTAAGTTTGGCCGTGGGGCTTCCTAATGTGTGTATGCCAACGGTGTGTTTCTCTGCAATTCTTTTGTCCTTCCTGAACATGAGCATCGTGATGTGGTGTGGGTATGTGTGCACGTGATGTTTGTAAGCAGTGATCATTGTAAAGGCATCTGTGGGGCTTTTTAAGCCGTCCATGTGCTTAGCCAATGGTTCTCCTGTCTCTGAAACATTCCTCATTAAAATATATTTAAAATTAGTCTTCTATGTATGTTACTTTTCAAGGTAGTTTTAATGTTTTTCTGTGTCTTGGGACAAGCTGCTCCTCTGACTTTTCAATATATTGTAGTATGTCTAAACCCATAGATACTCCATTTCTAAATTTTGTTTCATGTCGCTCATATCTCACAGTCATAATCTGCTGAAGTTTTAATAACTTTCCCACATAAGTTCTCCGGTTCAAAATAAATAAATAAATAATTACGTAGTCCCTGATTTGTTCCTGGCATGCTTTGTCTTATTTTAATGCATAAGATCGTGCAGGGAGCTGTGCCACTGTGGTACGCAAAGCAGTGAGGACTCTGCATTACCATGGGGAGATGATAGACAAGAGCAGAGCTCAGATTTGACTCTTAACAAGTGTAGCTATTTTGGTAATTTAAAAGACCCAGATATTTAACGTGGATTTAGAATTCCAGAATAACTCAATTCTGGCAGAATGAAAAATGGAGAAATCAAAAATCACAGGCATTAATAGCTTGGAAAAAGAAGGGAGCAGGATTAGTGATGATGAGAGAAGGGGGAAAAGAGAGTTTGCAAGAAATGAAAAAGGGTGAACAGTTTTCAGAGAAGGTGTTCTTGGGGTGGGACAGCTAAGACTGCAGAGCAGACAGCTTGGATAACAATCATTGGACTTCGTGTTGGACTTTCATGTCCAACACAAAGTGAGAGCAAATGAAGGGACTGGAGAGATATAAGGAACGTTAGGAGAGCTGCAAGAAGAGCGTATGATAAACCTCAGTGTCTGTGGGGAGGATGTGATACTTTAGATAGCAGGTCTGGAAGGAGATAAAAAGTGCTTGATATATGGCAATATACAGGCTTGGCAAGGTAAGGAGAGGAGAATGACTTCAGCAATAGTATGTGTTATTTTGATGGCAAAGAGATAACAGCGTAAAATCACAATGGATGGTAGATTTTTCATAAAACAGCTGCATTAGTTTCCCGTATAAATCTTTGTACTGTCTGTCAAGGAGCTGAATGACCATTGTACAAAGTTCATCTTCTGTGTGTGTCCATGTACTCTTGACTGTTGGCAGTAGTAGAGTAAATGTTGAACTCAGATCTAGGAGCTAAAACATGTCCACAACGTTAGAATGAATTTTTCTGGTTCCCATAGTGTGCTTTAATAGGACAACCTAGTTCAGTGTCTGTAGTGTTACCCCTCTTTGGTTGTGTTTAATGAGAGTTGAGAATGCACACTGAAGCTATATGCTAAGTGGTAGTTATTAATCGAGAATTGCAGCATGAATGTTGTCACATACAGAGGCCATGTTATACAGTCATATAGACATTTCTCTTCAGGGAAAATAATTAACTATTGTTCATCTCATTGTACATCACAGATTACTTATGTCTGTCACTACTGGCAGTACAGCTCATTTAGTAGTGATCACATACAGAGACCGTTTCCCAGAAAATCAAAGTACTTAGTGAAGTACCAATAACTTTAAAATATAGCTTCCAATACTGGAATTAGCAGTTATTTGCCTCCTCTTACTGCACATTCAGTGAGAACTGGAGTTTCTCATCTGTCCTGCCAAGATAAGCAGGCAGTCTGAGAATATGACTAAAATACAGAAAATTCTTTCTATGGGCTTGAAGAGCCTTTCTGCAGGAGTCTCTTGTCACTTGGTCATATTTGTAATGGCTTGTTATGTAGTGTTTTGTCTTCATGAGTTTTGTAAGCCTCGTTCCCTAAATGGAAGAGCAGAGATCAGAATCCATTTTGCAGCCTCTTGTTGCTTAGGACTGCAAACTTTGTTTTTGTTAAATGGAACTCTTAAGAACATTTAAAACAGCACCAGGTTCAGAGATGGGTTCTTGGCATCTCACCACAGCATGTCGCAGTCCAAGAGCAGCTCACGATCACTACTGATGGATGATTGAAATGGATCAATGATACTTTTTCTTAGTAATATCCTAATGCTTATGTCCTAAAAACTCTCTTATTTGGAGAAGAAAGCATGGTTTGCTGATGGCTGCTGTTGAGGGGTCAAGGACTGCAGCAGATGAAGCAGCTGCCCTTGTAGTTGGAATAGCTGTCACTGCCTGCAGAGGCGCTTTGGCAAAGTAGGATTGTTAAGCTTTTACATCTGCTGATGAAAGGACAAGAGTCCCACACTGTCCAATGTGCATCTTTCATTAATTCTTTGAGTATGGTCCTAAAATTAAAGTTGTTTTGTCATCGGTGTCAAGGGAAGCAGAGTTATGCTCTTCTGTGGGGGGATGGGGGTAACACTTTCTGCTGATTTACCACAGTGATGGCAAGAAATTACAGTTCTTTTATTTTTAAAGCAATTACTGCATACAAATAAGAGACTGTTAATGAAAGTAGGAAACATAGCATAATTCCAAAACTTGCAAGAAATAAATATTTAACCATTCTATTACTGTTCTGAAATGAATATGAGAACAATTTCTGAGTAGTTAAAAAGCTTTTTACCCAGTATCGACTCAACAGTTGGTACTACGAATAAAATATGAGTTTGTCACATACATAATTAAATAATATTTCAAGCCATTTCGCTTCTTAGAAAATAAAAAAAAATCAAAATCAATCTCATGGACAAAATGTATGAGTTCCTAGAGCTGTTCTTAAATGCCATAGCAGAGCATGAGAACCAACGTGATAATGAAAGAGATCACAATGTTTTCTTAATTTATGATAATGTGAATTATCATATGCAAAGAAATCTTTGTGATCCCTTCAAATTAATGCAGATCAGAGAATGGCATAGTTAATGTAGTCTTTGAGGAAGTCATTCTGCAAAGAGTTCTGTAGCTCCATAATTTCTGAGACACAAGAATGTGTTCTCAGATGAAAGTGGGAACTTTTTCCACTTAGAGTTGGGGGAAAATCTTGATGTGTTTTATGTTCATTTAGATAGAAGCAGTTTGGAATTTGAATTTTACCTAAATAGTTAAACTACTGACGTTTTGGGGTTGAAGTTTGAGGGGGTTCATTAAACCAATTTTCACAATTACCCTATGTGGAGATGGCAGGGAAAGAGATTTTTAGTTTCTTTGAAATGAATTTGCACAAAATTGTGAGATGTCTTAGGACAAAACAGCTCCTCGTTCCTGAGGTGAGATCAAACCCTCTGAGTTAAGTCAAAGAATGCTTTTCATAATTTGATTACATGCTCTTATTTGCCTCTGATAGTCTTACCTGTAAAGGAAGGAGCTCAGGCTTTACAGTTAATTATTTGATGGAGCTTTTATTTTTGAGAGAGATCCACAAGGGGGAGACTTCATTCTGAAATAACCTTCTTGAGGGACACATCTGTCATAAACGTGAACAAGGACTGAGGCCATAGAGCCCCTTGGGCAGTGTCCTCTTGGTTTCTTGGAGTGTTTGTTTTGAGGTAGGATACTTACCTTTCCTTCTCTGAAGCTGTAAGTTCATTAAAGCCTTCATAATGGAATAGACAAAGGATTACAATAGGAGGATGAACTGAATATACAAACATGCAGGGCAGAGACAATTACAATTTACTAGATGTACCCAGCATTTGAATAACTGCTATTTTTTGCTTTAAGTTTTCTGCTTTTGAACTGCTGTGTTAGCCTACTTTTCCAGCCTAACAAATCAAAATACTGGATTCATTCATTCTGACAATCCTTGTCTGAAATCTTTAGCAGTGTGTATGTGCACT